AGGGGAAAAAAAACGTTACAATCTGTGGTTAGGAAAAAAATGGTGGTACTGAACCTTGCTGTGCTTTAGATCTTGGGTGCACTCCTTTCTAGTTTATGTAAAACAAATGGAAAATGCCATTCTGTTGGGTAGCATTTTATGTCATACAATCATAAAATCACAGAATGGTTTGGGTTGGAAGGGACCTTAAAGATCATCTGGTCCAACCCCCCTGCCATGGGCAGGGACACCTCCCACCAGACCAGGTTGCCCAAAGCCCTGTCCAACCTGGCCTTGAACGCTTCCAGGGAGGGGACATCCACAGCTTCCCTGGGCAACCTGTGCCAGTGTCTCGCCACCCTCACAGTAAAGAGTTTGTTCCTAATATCTAGTCTAAATCTACCCTCTTCCAGTTCAAAGCCATTCCCCTTCATCCTATTGCTACCTGCCCTTGTAAAAAGTCCTCCCCCAGCTTTCCTGTAGACCCCTTTCCAATCTGTTTAGCTCAGTGTAACTAAACAGTGTCAGCAAAAGACCATGGAGAAGCTGTGCCTGTGGTGCAAGCTTATTGCCAGGATGCCCTGTGAATACCAGGAAGCTTTCCTGCTTCCTAAGCTTAAGAAGATGCAGATACCACTGGATAAGTGAACTTCTCCACTTCTGTTGGCTTTCTATCCACTCTCTCCCAGTCACACGCTGTGCTGACCAAAATACAGCAGAAGGAGAGTATGCACTGGCATCCTTTATGTTTAAAAATTACACAACAGTAAAATGGGTTTAAAATTATACAGTTGTTTTTGCGGTTTTAAGGTTTTTTAATTATAACATTTGTGTCCTTTTAATTTAATACTTGTTTCATAATTACGTTGTATTTCCATGGCTTTCACATATTTTCCCTACTGTCATCCGTGAGGGATAGCAACTTGCTGGCCTTCTAAATGAGAGTCTTGCAGTGTCGTTTGAATCCAAAAACTTGTGCTTCTAAACAAAATACTGAGAATAATAAAGAAAAATATAAAAAGAGGTACAGTAGTGTTATGAAAGAAGGTAATGTTTTCAGCACATTCCTGGATACCTGTTTATGAAGTCTGGCCACTTAGAAAGAGTTGTTTTTGTCGTATACACAACTTCTACCTCATCCCCTCTTTAACCTATCAAAAAATTTCTCATAAAAATGAGAAATTGTGCTGTACTAGTGACAGATGCAGCATACTCTCATTGAGTGGTTCACCTGAATCCAATGCTCTGGGTTTACAGCCCCAGAAGATCGAGTTTTCTAACATCTTGCAGGTCCCATTTACATCGCGGAGCCTTAGACAAGTGCACTGGCTCAGACCCCTGCCCCATTCAACGTCTGTAAGCAAGACCTTGTTTCCATAGAGGCTGCCTGCTTTCGGCATTCACTTTAAAAGGCAGTCGACAAATTTTGTGAGGATAAAGAGATTTTTAGCAACAAAAAGTCCCATTCATAATGCTGCTAAAAAGAATAGTTACTTATTTGGGCTTATACTGGAAATAATGTGAATATAAGGAATCTGTCCCAGGGACCTAAGAGCCTACAGCAGCACAGATACAAATAATTGTACTTACAACATCTGCCATTCAGTGAGTAAATAAATAGCAATGCAGAGCAGGCATGAAGAATTCATGGGACAGCACCATGAAATACAGAAAATCTGTGATTACATGTGTAATAAATGAGAGAGAAAATACATAGCAAAGACAAACAGTGACTTTCAAGACTTTACCTTAAGGACCATCAGCAAGAGGCCAACGCATGAGGAAAGAAATCTTACCTAAGGTCAGAGGCTACTCTTTAAAAAAAGGTCTCAAGCCAACAGCATGAACACAGTTCAGTAGCAGGAACACTGGTTTATTATCGCTAGCATGATACTATTTTTATGAAAGGTAACTGGATGTTAATACTAAATTATTTTAATCTATTTGAGAGAACACCTCTCTTTTTAATACAGATTATCTTTTTCTATAGAAGGCAAATGAATAATATCTACTGGGTTTGCTGCCATCAAGCTGTCCATGCACTCTGACCTTTTCCCAGCTCATTTCTTCTGACTTACCTCCCCTCCAGCATTTCTTCAGTCACTATTTCCTTTTGAAAGGATAAAAGCCACACTGTGGTTGTGGTGTCTCTATTTTCTACCTGTTATTTCCAAAGATACTACATAGATTCTTACTCTCACATTATGACAAACATTACCTTTTACTATTTAAAATGTTAAACCTCAGTAAAATAATTGATAGTCTAGTCTGAGATACCACAGTGAGATACCAAGTTTGTACATAAAAATGAATACCTTGCCTTGTAATCTTTGGGAAGCTGTCTATTATTTCCGTATTTCACCCACATAAAGGAGTTTTATATTAAAGCTTACCTTAACTCGTATCTCAACCCTCTTGTAACAACAGGGCTAGTTGTTCAGTTCTCTAGTGAAGCTTCCCTCCTTCATACTACCTCAGGATCCAAGTCCATATTTGTGTTTATTGATTTTTAAGGTGACAAGGCCCACTTGGTCACTTTCTGCACTTTACAGACAGATAACCGTCGCTTGGTTTTGAACCCTGTAGTTAGCATCTGGCCAAAACAGTGTTTCCTACCTACCATGTCTCAAGCCCAGAAGAGAGCAATAGGGAATAGGTGGATTTGTGATGTTTTAAATAATGAAGAAAAAGCTACTGGAAATAAAGATATCTTGCTTTCCTAGCCTTTATGCATGCTGGGCAGAGTCTGGGGAGGAGAAAAATGTGGGGACGGAGGCAGGTTTAGAGGACATTGGCCTCCCAGACCATCTTTCAATCTCCAAGCAATTCATATGTTTTACATAAACAAAAAGTGTCTTGGCCACGTGGTGCAAGTCTTTCAGGGACCCTCTGTGTGCACCCACGGGCTTCAGCTGCTGAGAGATCCGTTCCTTTCCTCCTCCTTTCATCTGCAGCATCCTGCCTCTCCAAATCTGAAAGTCAAACCATGCCTCTGCTCTCAAAGTATTCAAGTCACCCTCCTGAATCAGGCTTGCTGCACGCAATGAAGCAGTGAGATGCTTTTTGTCCTGTTTGGAATTCATATTTAAGTATGATACTCAGTTAAAAGCTTGCCAATCTGAAATCATTGAAGAAACAAGACAAAAACCCTTCCAGAAATGTGTCCAGACTGATCTGAGATACAAAGCAAGGAAAGCCCTAGACATAGATCTGATTCTTGCCTGGCCTCAGCCACTGATTCACTGTGATGCTTTCTGCAAGTCATTTATTGTGCATCAATGCGCTCATTGATGGAGGAAAACCAGTACTTATTTCTTGTCAGAGTTGTCCTGAGTCTTAGTAACCACTGCTTGTGCAAATCTTTGGATGAAAGGAATCTTAAGAGTTCTAAGCTCTTAATATATATTGCTTATTGTATTTTAAAACAAACGTCATCACACTGGGTAGGAATTAACATTCCAAAGCCCGTAGGGTGGGTACCTTTTCATACGCATATATATAAAAGTCATCAAGTGACCTGCCTCAGAGGAAGGCTGACTGAAGACAGGTGAGTCTGAATTCACTCATAGAATATTTATTTAGAGCCAAAAGTCTTGATTTTGTTTTGATTTAGCATTTTGTCAATATTGTGATTATGATGCTGTTTCTACCTAAGGCCTGGGAGGACTTTTGTGATGGAAGGGGGGAAAAAAGGCTGATAACGTAAAGCTTTATAACCTGTCGATTTCCTGCACGTGGAAACAGCTATAGCCTGTAGCTTTCAATGGGGCCCTGTATGGATTTTCCATTGAATTCATAGATATTGGGTCAAGCTATATGGATCCGGGCTTGCAAATACTCAGTGTCAGTGTTAGAGATCAAACTGAGCTACTGCCTGTACCCGGCTCTGGCTGTGGACATTTGCTGGCCAGAATAGGCTCGCTCAGGACAAGGGAGTCTTTGCAATTACAGCGGTGGACTATTTGTGTCTGTGCATCCATGCGGTCTGTTTTGCAGTAGAAACAGAGGCTAGAGAAAAGGTCACATCATTAAAATCAATAAGACATTTTCAAGTATTAATAGCATTGCGTTATGATTGCCTATAAGACTTGTGGTGTGATATTTGAAACCCTCTTGGAGAAAAAAATCCAAATTTGTAAGCCATAAAAACTGCTCAGTTTAAATGCATTCACCAGCAAGGCAAGCACAGTCAATGCTTTTTCTAGTTGATAGCTACTACCCAATGACATTTTGGGATTTCATGAGCACAACAGATACATTTATTACTAAAGTGATTAGCTGCCATTATCACACACATGAATTCATGCAGAAGTATTATTTCACCAGCAAAATCTTTGCCTTGCATGCTCTTAGCAGAGGATTAAGGGTCATATTACTTGATTTTTGAAAACTCATTTTGCCAAAAGCCAAGCAAAAATCCTGTTGCCTTTTGAACAGAGAGGCAAAGGATGTGTGCACTTACTAGACTTCAAACACATATATATGTAAAGCAAATGTACAGCACCTTCTCATCATAAAGACACACTATGGGTGTTCAGGGAGGGCTGTGTGAGCAAGCGATATGAAGTGACAGGGGCTGAAAAATCCCTGCTGGCTTAGGCTGCGACAGGGGCCTCCCTACTCCTGAGGTCCCTAGGCTCAGCCCTTGCCTCTCGATGTGACGGTGTAGTGGCACCTGAGATGACAGAGATGTTCAGATGCAGGAGGAGCCTGTACCACCCGAACAAGAAGGAATTAAGGAGCAGATGGGGCTCCCATCACTTGCTTCTCCTCCCACCACTGCTCTCTGAAGCTGGAGGCTGCATCCTGTGCTGGAGGTGTGGGGGAGCGTGCTGTGAAGAGGGTGCCTCCTCTCCTGAACCTGTCTTCAGCTAATGCTATCCCTGTCTGGTAGCTCGGGGTGGGAGCTTTTGACAGCCAACACTTGCTACAGGGCTGTTGAAAATCAGCACCGATCTCTCTACATTTTGTAAACTGCTGTGTTTCCAGGTCTCCTGGGGCAGCCGAGGAGAGCCATCACCATGATCTCCGCACTGCTCCTGCTTGGCCTTCTGGCCCTTGTCGGTGAGTTAGGGTTTGAGTTTGGGTTGCTGTCGAAAGCACCCCCAGGAACTGTTTGGAGAGGGACTGAGGGGCCATGCGGTCAGGCCAGAGGTCCCCTTTCTGTGTAGTGCTGTAAAACCCTGTGTGGCTGAAGGTCCTCAGCTGCCATATGAGGCTGCTTGCCACCCACACGTGTCCTTTAAACTAGCACTTCTAAGGTATAGGACTGACACCAAAAGGGAGTCACAGACATACATTCTCTTGATTTTTCCAACTAACCTTGTCTGGTCTCTCCACCTACACCAAAATGATCTCACAAATGTGGCAAGCTGTTTGACGGAGGCTATTTATTCCTCAGGTATTGAGGAAGCAGGGCAGTTTTCCCAGGCTGAGGAAAGCATCCTCCTCAATTAATCCCTTACCAAGTTATGGAGGGACACAGGAGACACTCCCAGCTGCATACCACCAGCCATCATCCAAGGGGTCCTGGACATTGGGAGGCATTGAATGGGAAGAGCTGTCTGAAGTAAATGCAGAGGCTGTGGTTCCCCTCTCGCACACCAGCCTTTGGACCTAATGGAGCAGAGACCTATTCATCTAAATTGTCATTAGATTCATTCACTTCAACCTATTCAATTAGAAAATAAACAAATTTCTGTTTTCTATCTTTCTTTGATAATGTCACTGATGGAGATCAGTGGCAACCATGCAAGTATACCCAACACAAGGTGATGTGGATTGCAGGTCTGGATGAATCCCTCATGCTTGATTTGTATGCACTTGCAGCACGCTGTATGATAATTGCTCTGAGATCTTATGTGTTCAAACACCTCCATTTAATTTTTCAGCTCCATCCATGAGTTACAGTTGCTATGGTGATATCAGTGTTCTTCAAGCCCCCACGATCTCCTGTACTCCTGTAAGAGCCCCAGACTGTGGTAGGTATCATTCACTGCTTTATTTGTCAACCTATTTGTACCTGACAGAAAGATGCCTTGCCTTCTGTCATTGCCAAATTAAATGTGGTGCAGCTACTCAATTAGCCGAATGGGAGATAGCAACACCTCCTCTCCCAAAATGGCAGGTGCTGTGAAGCCTCCATAGCTGATGGGAAGTGAGAGAACAAATTTCAGGTCTCATAGTCAGGATCCTTACCCTCTAAGCAAAGGGAAACAGTATAACCCTTTTTCAGTAAAAACAGCTTCTTCATCAGCCAGGACTTTAGCATCAGCATCCTCACAAAATCCCTGGACCTATCTGCTCGAAGGCAAGATGCACAGAGCCAGGTCCTGAGTGCTGGTGTGTCGGCTGAGCTGGCCAGTGGTGACTTGCCAGAAACACAGTTTGCGGGGGAAGGTCTCAGGTGTGTAGCCACCTTACCTCTGGGTGACCTGTTTTTTGGTAACTCCTTTCCATTTCCCTCTTTCTCTCTGTTATTGCCTCATGCCACTGCACAGCTGACCACGTCAGGTTCATACTGCTGAGACAGCCAGGTACATTGCCACATATCTCAGACATAGGCATCTCTAGGGCAGACATCTGACTGCAGGTGTCCCAGCATGGATCTGAACCTGCTTGCTTATTTCCAAACTGTTCCCAAATTACTTTAAAAAAAAAACAACCCACCTGTCTATACATAGACTAACAACGTAGCTGTTACTGCAGTTTTGTCAGTCAGTAGTAACATATCTCTCAATTTTTTCAAATGCAATTTGAAATTTCACTTTTCCAACTCCAGAGCTATATTTCCAATGGTGCAGCAACAAAAAAGGACCATGAACAGGTGGTCCCACCTGCTGAGAAGCTGCCGTCTTCCCCTCATCATCCTTGGGTACTGGTACAGCAGCTCCCTGACCACAGTCAGAGCCGATAGGGCTGTGCTTATTCCTTAAGTGCCACTGCCCAACTTGGTGTAGCTACGTTTTCTTCCAAACTTGAGTTACTCCTTTGATGCACCCACTCAAGGGGAAAGAGAGGGTTTTGAAGGGGTGGGTGTGTAAGTTCGCCTTTTCCTATGCCATAGGACTTGCCACGATACGGAGGACTGCTGAAGCAGACATCGTCCGCCTGAGGAAATACGAGATCCCGATTAAGAGAGTAGCCAGAAACCTGTGCTTGGACCCGGCACTCATCGCTGCCATCATCTCGCAGGAGAGCCGCGTCGGCCTCCTCCTGAACGACGGCTGGGACCAGGGACGGCAGAAGTACGGCTTGATGCAGGTACATCAGGGTGATAAGTATGAGTAACACAACAGTAATGTAGTGTATATCCCAGGGCCTGACCTTAGCAAAGGACTCTCCTGTGTTGGAGACAGCACTTAAATGCATTCCCTCTACATCAAAGGTTGTGCCTAAGTGTTGTCCCGAATAAGGTCACTTCCATGAGTCACAGCCTGGGAGTACAAAGAAAGAGGGGGAAGCTGCAGTGGTAGTTGTGTTCAGAGGGAAACCCATTTTCTTGCTTGACTTTTCCAGCTTGGCAGGCAGCTATACCAACCTGTTGGAGTGTGGGACAGTGAAGACCACATAAATCAGGGCTCAACTAGGCTGGTTCTTGCAATTAATGAAGTACGGGCAAGACATCCTACCTGGACCTGGGACCAGCAGCTGAGAGGTACGTTGTGGGCTATGTACTAGAAAGGGACACGCGGAGTGATGCCAGTGCTGTGCATTTGTTGGTCTCACTTTTAAGAGAAAAAGGGCATGAGTCTGGTGGATTTTACAGCATCTCTTACAAAAAAAAAACAAACCCAAGAGTTTTCTAGTTTAAAAGAGGCAATCCCAAAACAGCAGACTGGCAAGAGGTCTGAATATAGATGCAGCCTCCCAGCTCAAAGCACTGTCCACTGGGCCTCCACATTTCTACCTGCAGAGTAGAGACTGAATTGGGACACCAAGCTTCTTGGCAGCTTTGCTGCAGTAGGAAGCAGTGGGAAACCATCCCAGTGTGGGAGCTACCACAGCGGCATGGAGGTACCCCATGCAGAGGTGGGCAAAGGTATCAGGCACAGCCTTGGCAGATTGTCCCTTGACTTCAGTGACAAATGCCCACAGAGGGCCACTACATTGAGTGGCTGGGTCACTGCTGGTAAATGGAGAGATCGAGGCCCTCCTTAAATTCCCTGGAAAAGGCATTGTGCTCAGTGAACATGCACAGGTCTCAAGTTATCCTCTTATCTGTTCATCCTGTAAGTGAAATGTCTGTCAAGTGGATAAATAAGGTAGAAATCAACCAAACAAAAGCCACTGGGGAAGGAAGAAATTGAGAGACCTCAGCACAGCGGTTGCATAGGTTTGGTGAGATGCATGGTCATTTTGGCTAGGAATTTTTACATTTAAATCTCTATTTCTCACCTATAATGCTGTATCAACTCTTTCTTGACTATTTCCAGGGGGAATTTGCACCTACCGTGCAAGAATGGGCAACCTCCAGGTCTATGAGGACGACCCCTGTGACAGAGATGACTACTATGTCAACAGTGTGATCAGACGAGCCCAGTACTTTAAGAGAAATGGGTTCTAGCTCATAAACCTGCACCGTCACCAAGCCTCTCCTCTACATAGACTAGCCCAGTAGTGATCTTAGCACCCAGAGCAGTTCCTCAGGTCTCCTGGCAGGACCGATGCTGGTGGCAATGACAACAGCACCTTGCTGGCTCCAACAAACCCCAGCTCCCCACTTGCTGATGGGCGAGTTCAGTGCTGCCTTCCAGGGGAAAAGATACCACAAGTTTGAGGCCTTTGAAAATCAGATAGGGACAGACCAGCCATGTTTAAGTGTCAGGTGAGGAAGGTGCCTCTTCCCCTTTGAAGCTGAACCCAGGGCTGCTTATGCAATACCCCAGGCACGGGCACACCAGCAGCTCTTCCTGGGCATCTGTTGGCTCTTCCCATATCCTCTATCCACCTCCTTCCCTCTCCCTGGCCAACAGGGGGATGAAGTCCCCAAGTTAAAGTCTTCCTTCCTCTTGACTGTGCTGGCTACAGAGCAATGAAGAGACTTCTTGCCAAGGCTTTGGTCTCTGCACCAGTTGTGCAGCTAGCCTTGCGGAGGGCAATGCTAACCATGTCTCTGCTAGTCTCCTGAGCCCTGGGAGCTCACAGCTGTGGTAGGGCTGGAGACATCTTCAGGGTGAAAAGCAGCCTTGCACAGAGGAAGTCTTCTATATGGGAAGTATTGCAAGTGCCACAGCAAGCATGCAAAACAGCTTTCCAGCAGCAAGCAGCCCTCTGAGCAGGAGCTAGCCCCATACATACCTTCCCCCAGGAGTTGTATCACAACAATAGTGTTGGTAAAATATCCCACAACCTTTCCTGCTTCAGCTTTGGCACCTTTATGCTGGGCTTCCTCCAAGGTCAAAAATGTTTCAGCATCCATCCCTCTGCCAGGAATCCCAACTTCTAATTAGGAGTAAATTAGCTCTGGGTTTATAAACTCTGCTTGAAAGTGTTCTTCAATGTGGATGGGTCTGGGTGCAAATTTAGGTTTACTGAGAATAATAACTGAGAATACGAGAGAAAATAAAGATAAATGTTGAATCCCAGTCTTTTTTTTTTCTTCTCATTTTTGGTATTCTTGGCATGGGTCTAAAACTCAATCTGAGAACAGAGAGAGGAAAATGATGCTGCAGACTGGGGTGGGTGAGAAGAGCTGGGCTGGGAGGCAGGGAATGAGGCAGCCCGAGCCTTGTCACTGCCCCCAAACTTGTGAAGAGGTGAATAAGGACATTGACGTTTAGCCTTTTAATAACCATTTTGGAGGCATCAGGGCACCTTTCTGCCAGCTGTCACCATTGCCCATGCAGAAGCAATGTGCCCAGCAGCACGAGGCTGGGCTGCACGCGTGGCTGGGCTGCACGCATGCCTGGGCTGCCAGGCAGGGTCAATGCAGGCAGCGTGAGGGCTGGTTTGGAGACAGCTTTTGCAAGTGGAGCAATTTTAATGCTATCCTCCTTGTCTTGTCAGTCACTCGTCTGCTTACCAACATGGCAAGGGCTGTGCATGATTAATGTGTTTGCAAGCAAACTCGTTTTATCATCTCTGGAGACCAGAGGGAGCTCTAGGCTGTCTCTAACATTACTGATGGTGGTTTTTTTAAGACTACAGAAAACAGTTCAGTGTTGAGCAACTGCAGGTACTAAACTATATATTATTTAGTCTTTAGTGAATTCTACACTATATTCAGATAATTTTAGTAAAACCATTACTTTGTAATACAAACATATGAAACATATCACTTCATTCGATCCCCTCAACTTGAAATAGCTTATGTAAAATTCATAGGTTGAAGTCTTTGGTGCATTATGTTACACAAACCTCTATGTTATACAAACTTCTTATGTAAAAGCTATGAATGCATTTTTGGTAGATACACATAAACTTCAAATGGGACGGGGAATCTCATTGCTGTCTATGCGTATAAAGTTGTTTTTTGAGTTTGGAGCGTCAACAACAGTGATGCTTTCTGTAGTTCCCTTCATGTTTCCCTCAACTGCTGACAGCGAGGTCCCTGACACTGCTGCTGGTGTTGTCACCCTTGCAGATCTGTGAGCTCCTCAGGAATCCAACTTCTGCATGCGTTACCTATGAAGCTGCTGCTTCACATTATGTTAACAACACCCCAGGACCTGCAGGCCTGCCCACTGGCTTGTGCAGCATTGCCACAAAGGATTATTTATTTTTTGAGCCTATTTTACAATCCTGATTACAGGAATTCCATATTTTGTTGCAAATATTATTTTAGGGTATCAGCACTTCATAGTGAATGGGGAAAATCTCTGCAGAAAATAAGTTGAAATATAATTGCTTGATAATCAGGCAGGAAGGAGTAAATAATTAAGGAAAGTTTAACACTGGCACACTGCCTTAAGATCTGAGCAAAAGCTTTCCTGACAAACACCGAGTTCAGACTGTTTTTCCTCTCTGATATTTCCTGGTCACCCATGCCATGTTACTGGAAGTTACTCATTTGACTGGTGTACACAGGGCTGCTGCGGTCACGCTCTCAGTCACCCTTTTGACCCATGACCAGGGTCAAACAAACCAGGCAGCTTGCAAGGCGAATGATGTAACACCAAAAGACGTATCAGAAAAAGCAAAAGCACAGGCAAGGAAAGAGAAAAACTGAATCAGAGGGGAAAGAAAGGTCTAGGGAATCACAGACCAGGAAGATCATAGAATCACAGAATCACAGAATGGTTTCAGTTGGAAAAGACCTTTAAGATCATTGAGTCCAACCATCGATCCAGCCCTAGGTGTGCCACTAGACCATGTTTCTAAGCATGACATCTACTTACCTTTTTAACACCTCCAGGGATGGTGACTTCACCACCTCCCTGGGCAGCCTGTTCCAGTGCTTGACAACCCTTTCAGTAAATAAATTCCTCCTAATATACAACCTAAATGTCCCCTGGCACAATTTGAGGCCATTACCCCTTGTCCTATCACTAGTTATGAGGGAGAAGAGATTGACCCCCGCCTCGCTACAACCTCCTTTCAGGTAGTTATAGAGGGTAATAAGGTCTCCCTTCAGCCTCCTCTTCTCCAGGCTAATCAACCCTAGCTCCCTCAGCTGCTCCTCATAAGACTTGTGCTCTAAACCCTTCACCAGCTCTGTTGCCCTTCTTTGGACACACTCCAGTGCCTCAATGACCTTTTAGTAGTAAGGGGCCCAAAACTGAACACAGTAGTCCAGGTGTGGCCTCACCAGTGCTGAGTACAGGGAAAGGATCACTTCCCTGCCCCTGCTGGCCACACTGTTTCTGATGCAGGCCAGGATGTTGTTGTCATTCTTGGCCACCTGGGCACACTGCTGGCTCATGTTCAGCCAATTGTCAACCAACATCCCCAGGTCCTTCTCCTCCAGGCTGCTCTCCATGCACTCTTCTGCAAGCCTGTAGTTTTGCATGGGGTTGTTGTGACCCAAGTGCAGGACCTGGCACTTGGCCTTGATAAGCCTCAAACAATTGACCTCAGCCCATTGATTCAGCCTATCCAGGTGTCTTTGCGAGCCTTCATACCCTCAGGCAGATCAACGGTCTTGCCCAACTTAGTGTCATCTGCAAACTTACTGAGGGTGCACTCGATTCTCTTGTCCATGTCATTGATAAAGATGCTAGAGTAAAGAATGGAACTATTGTTTTGTGAGCACCTGAGGGACAAAAAAGCAGCAAGAAGCAGTCAGGAAGGCTCTGGCACCCTGGCTTGACAGGGAAAAAAGCCACCTCTGATCAACCAAAGCCCTAATCTCACTGGGTAAGTGGCCGAGAAAGAAGCCATGGTTGTGCCGTATCACAAACTCGATAAGGCTGTCAGCAGAAATCTGAAGTGCCCTCATATATGAAGGGCCTTAAGATAAGTACAAAAAGCACTGGTTATCAGCAACTTGTGGCCAAACTGGTGAGGCATTTCAAGTGGAGCCACATCAGTTTGTTCAGCTCCAGCTTCTCTCAGATTTGTGGTTGGCAAATGAGTGGTGGACAAGAGCTATCAAACCATGGGTGACGGTCATGCTGAAAGGGAACACGAGCACTTCAACTAATGGTTAAAAATTATGAAAACCTGTTAGGAATCAAAGCACCGAAATAAAGCAAACACAGGTGCAAAACACTCAAGGAGCTCAAGCAGGGGTGGAGCAGGCAGGAGACCATCCTGCCAGAAGGGCTGGGGCGGGGGTGTGTCCAGTGGGAAACAAACCAGCAATGCCAGAGGAGGGGGGGAAAGAAGAAAAAAATTGAGAGGATCCCATTTGAGGATTTCTCTTTATCATAGCACTGTATTATGAAGCACTTGGGGTAATTCTCCTCTGTTGTGGTTTAGGCCCAGTGCCTAACTGAGCACCACGATGCCCCAAAAAAGGGCTAGTCAAAATAAGGACTGGGAGGGCTTCTCACCACTTAAACAGGTCACAGGCAAAAGACAGACTCATCATAAGGAATAAAAACAAAACAATTTTAATTTGTTACCAACATCAGAGTAGAACAGTGGGAGATGCAACCAGATCTTAAAGTCAAAACACCTTCCCCCCACCCCTTCCTTCTTCCTGGGCTCAGCTTTTGTTCCTGGTTTCTTCACCTTCCCCCTCCCTCTTTGCCTTGAGGTGCAGGGGGATGGGAGTGGGGGCTGTACTTGGTTTTCACGCCATGTGCCCCTCAGGAGTAGGAAAAACTCAGCCCAGTGTCTCTCTCTGCTTCCACGTGGCCCCCTTTCCATAGGGGAAAAAGTCTTCAAAAGTCCATTATGGGTCTGCCCACAGCTGCAGTTTCCCTCACGCAAGAACTGCTCCAGCACACGCACCCCGGAGTCACGGCTTCTTCAGGGGCAGCCACTGCTCACGTGGCCCTGCCCCACCAGTGAACTCTACGGGCTGCAGGCCAGTCGACCCAGCTCTTGCCATGGATTGCAGGAGGGTTCGTCCTCCTCCCTCTCCTTTCTTTCCTTCAATTGACCTTGGTGTTCTTCAAAGTTGTTCTCCTCGGGCCCCACTCTTTTTCTCCACTGCAGGTCTCTTCTGATGGTTCTGGA